GTGGGTTGACTTAGGCGTATAGAATTCATTCCCAGTCTAAGCATACTGAGTTCATTCCCAGTGTAAGATCGAACCAAACTGAGGGATATGGGTGCACATGCTGGGCTCGGGCATGTGCTGGTGTCGCATTTCTTTTTCGCCTAGGGCACCATCGCCGGAGCATCGTCGGAGAACCTGACCGGCGGCATTGGGTTCCGACGATTGGGGGCCGATGGGGGTGTGCGCACATGATGTGCGATGGTGCTGGTACTTGCCCTTATATTGGCCCCCTATCCCTCATCAAACCTCGAGAACTCACACCCCCTTAGAGAGCATTTGAGATTTTACAGGTTTGCTGCCAGTAGCCATTAAAGTGTCTGAAATGGGGACACTTTTTTCAAATGGTCACAAAAATCCTGTACACTTTGAGTTTTTAGCTGAATTTTTTTGTGCATGCCAAAAAAAAATGCAAGGATCACATCTACCAAGTTGGGGACAGAAACTCCTTCGTGAAAAAATTTTAACAAAATCCTGAACCGTAAAAAGTTTCGAAAATCGGTTGAAAAAATAGAGAACGAGTCGTCTTGCCATGAAACTTCACATGAAGGCTTAAGGGACCATTGTATGAATTACAAGCCATAAAAATGGCATTAGCATGGCAGAAATATGAAGATGTGCCTAAACCCACCTACCACCCTATCGATCCACGGCTTGTGCATCCCGCCTCTCTGGCCGGCATAGTGCCCGCCTACCCGCTCGTTTCATCGGTTGGATTAGGCATACGGAGTTCATTCCCAGTCTAATATCGGACCGAACCGAGGTTTGTGGTAGCAGGATTGGCAGCACATAAGGGGGACCTAGTCGATCCCCAGCTTGCGCATCCTACCCCTCTAGCCGGCTGAGCGCCCGCACGCTCGTTTCGTGGGTTGACTTAGGCATACGGAGTTCATTCCCAGTCTAAGCATACCGAGTTCATTCCTAGTGTAAGATCGGACCAGACCGAGGGATGTGGGTGCACATGCTGGGCTCGGGCATGTGCTGCTGTCACATTTTTTTTGCCCGGGGCACCATTGCCGGAGAACCTGACCGGCAGCATTGGGGTTCCGATGATTGGGGGGACGGGGGGTGTGCGCACATGATTTGCGATGGGTGCTGGTCCTTGGCCCTTATATTGTCCCCCTATCCCTCATCAAACCTCGAGAACTCACACCCCCTTAAAGAGCATTTGAGATTTTACAGGTTTGCTGCCAATAGCCATTAAAGTGTTTGAAATGGGGACACTTTTTTCAAATGGTCACAAAATCTTGTACACTTCGAGTTTTTAGCTGAATTTTTTATGCATGCCAACAAAAATACAAGGATCGCGGCTACCAAGTTTGGGGCTGAAACTCCTTCTGAAAAAATTTTTAAAAAATCCCGAACCGTAAAAAGTTTCAAAATCGTCAAAAATAGAAAACGAGTCGTCTTGCCATGAAACTTCACATGAAGGCTTAAGGGACCATGTATGAATTTACAAGCCATAAAATGGCATTGGCATGGCAGAAATATGAAGATGTGCCTAAACTCGCACCTACCACCCTATCGATCCACGCTTGCGCATCCTGCCTCTCTGGCCGACATAGTGCCCGCCCGCCGCTCGTTTCGTCGGTTGGCTTAGGCATACGGAGAATTCATTTCCCAGTCTAAGATCGATCGAACTGAGGTTACGGTAGTAGGATCGAGCAGCATGCAAGGGGAACCCGTCGATCCTCGGCTTGTCGCATCCTGCCCCTCTGCTGGCTGAGCGCCCGCACGCTCGTTTCGTGGGTTGACTTAGGCATACGGAGTTCATTCCCAGTCTAAGCATACGAGTTCATTCCCAGTGTAAGATCGGACCAGACCGAGGGTTACGAGTGCACATGCTGGGCTCGAGCATGTGCTGGTGCCACATTTTTTTTTCGCCCGGGGCACCATCACCGAAGCATCGTCGAAGAACTTGACTGGTGGCATTGGGCGTTCCAACGATTGAGGGGGCGGGGGGATGTGCGCACATTATGTGTGTTGACATCAATTTTGTCCTCAAAAATAAAAATAATAATATTATACGAAATACAAAAAAAATAAATACCAAAAATAATACAAAAAATAGCAAAAAAACAAGAAAAAAAGAAAAAATAATTGAGGATGGCATTGGTGCCATCCCCGGCACCACTGCCACCAGCCCACCACCCATCACATACCTGTTCATCCTACCCAACTACCAGAAAATAAAAAAAAATAAAAAGGCGGGCTCATGTTTACATCCCATGATCAAGCCCCATGCCCTTCTCTCCAAACACATGGCTGGAGCTCTATAAATAAGAGCTCATAGCGAAGCCAAAACAGACAGAAAAGAAGGAGGGGGAGATTTTATAAAAAAAAACTAAAAAAAAAAAATAGAAAACCACAGTCCTCCCACAGGAAGGACCCAGCACCGAAGCTACCTGTAAAAGCAAGAAAACAGATCAGTCTTGCTTCAACAAAACAAACAAAAAAAATTGAAAACAAAAACTTTGAGCCCCGATCTATGCTGATCGGGGTTGCTTTCGACAAAAAAGAGGTCAGATCTTGAAAGAGCGCATTGAAGAGCGCTTCTGGAAGTATTTCGACATTTTTCGATCACCAGCGACCACCGTCGACGATGACCCAAGCGGCGGCCGGAGCGGTGGCCCGACGATCGAACGTGGAGGGCCAGACCTCTCCCCTAGCTCTCTCTCTCTCCCTTTGTCCCTTTTTTGTGGGGGTGCTAATCCTTCCCCATGCGTAACCGACCCGACCCAACCTGGTTTTTCATAGACCGAAATTATCTTTTTGATAAACTTTAAATCCGTTTTATAGTTTTATTAAAAAGATAAACTTTTGGGTGGCCAATCACACCCTAACAAAGATTGGTGGCGACTCCACTTTTTATTTATTTTTCTCTATTTTAAAACATCACTTTTACGTCTGGCGGTCCCAAAACCGTTACGACAGCTTGGCGACTCCACTGGGATTTTTAGAGTCAGGCCAAATTTTAGTTATGCGCTATTAATAACTGTTGGATTTAATTAGTTTTATTTGATATTTAATTTAATTCTCTTTATTTTAATTTTTCAAAATATACATACAAGTTAATAAATAAAATAAATTGCTTGTTATCTATTACTTTATTTTGATTTTGTGTTTATGATTTATTTATGTTATTTTGATTAATACATTACTTTGCACACACTTTGCATATTTATTCGCATGCATGAGCTCTAAACCCGGGCTCTTTCCCTTTTAGGAGGAAGTGAAGTAGCTACGCTCTCGTGAGGTGATAACCTCCGCATTTGCTAGTGAAACACTTCCACTCAGACTGAACCCTTTCCGTTAGTAACCTGTAATGGGTGAGGATCGGGGAACCTTACTAGTCTATCCAGACAACGATGTGAGGAATAGTTTGGGAACCGTTAGACGCATAAACCTTAACCCAGCATATCGTAAGCCATATGAATCTTGCCGATCTTTTTATAGAAATAACCAAAAGAAAAGCATTTTCTTAAAAAATATATATATATAAATTTCCTCTTTACATGTAGTTCATTCATTTGGTAATTGTTCAAATTTTGCAATTTCATAAAATATTTTAGAATAAAGTGATTTTTTTTAAAGCATTATCCAACAAGCCAAAAAAACAAAAAAAAAGTGGTTTTCAAAAAAATTAAAGATTTTTCTTAAATTCTTTGTTTATTGGCCCAATAAAAAAATCAATTTTCATGTCCTAGTTATTTTGTTTTTCCCTCTAAATTTTTTTTTTATTTTGTTTCATCTTTTGCATTTCATACATCATAAAAAATAATACATGTATCCCATTCCATATGCATCATAAAAGGTAGTGTCAGTTTCACTAGGTTGGCATAATACAAGCATTGTATTCCATGTAAAAATATAACATGCACTTGATAGGTTCATGCATTCCATACAAATATGCTGCATTAGTCATAGGAATACATCTCATCATTCATGTAAATATGTCATTGCATTTCATGCATATAAATTCATGAATGGTAAGGTCGTATGGAACAAACGTTGCATTTCATATCCCACTATCTCGGCAATATAATATTCCTTACATACACAGTCATGGTTGATAAAAATTTTCATTTGGGTCATTTGTACATATAAAAATTCATTGTTATAGGCATATACGCATTTCATGACATTCTTTAGCCATCATATTCATGTATTCATACTTCGTGTGTCATTGTTTTTATGATATTCATTCAATAAGGGTAGTAATCTAGAATTTTTTGTCTAAGTCTTGGAATAAGTTGTCTGTCTTGGTGGGAATCAGAGTCACGAAAATGGGAGATCAATTAGAAGTAAGGATTAGTGCTTTGGAGTTGAATCAAGAGGAATTATGGCTTGAGCTTCGAGAGATGAAATGACAAATGGCTCAATTGATAGAAATGGTTAAAAGTAGTGGTATGGTTGAATTAGTTGCTCCTCAAATACCGTTGTCACTTCCATCAAGTCAAGGTCAATTGGCTCCCATTAGTTCCAGCATTCTGCCAGAGCATGCTAAAGCATTGGGTGATCTCAACAATGACCAAGGTTTGGGCGAACTCAAGAGAGGAATGGGTGAACTGGCCATGCAAATGACTGAGCTCAAGAGTTTGATTTCCAAAAATAAGTCAGCTGGCTTCAAACAACCTCCACAAACTATCCCAAGTCCAAACCCATACCTAAATCCTCCTTATGACCATTTTCAACCTCCTTTCCAAGTACCTAAGATTAGACCCCCAATTTTCATGCAACCACCAAGAATTTCACACCTGAACCCATATCCACCATCTCATATTTCACAATCGCCTGTTCAGCATGCTATACCATCATTACCTTTTGAACCCAATCTTCGACCCAAAGTTTCTCAATTCACCTCAAGACCAACTAAACTATCATCTTTTCAGCAAAGCAAACCAACTGTAGGATAGAAAAACTTCGGTAACACCAAAGAAAAAATCCTTGTTGATCTGATACCCATGTCCTACGCAGAGTTGTACCCATTACTTCTAGAAAATTATCTCATTGCCCCTATCCCTGCTGAACCTCGCAAACCACCTTTCCCCGAATGCTATGACCCCAATGCTCGATGTGAATACCATTTTGGCATCATTGGCCATTCTTTGGAAAATTGCACAGCTTTGAAACATAGGGTGCAAGGACTGATGAAAGCTGGATATCTGAGTTTTGATACCAAGATGAAGCCAGTTATTCACAACAACCCTTCTTTGATCCATGTCAAAATGGTAGGCAGTGCTGCAGGCAACAGTAGGGTTGGTCAGGATGATGAATAAAAAGCTTTTTAAGCAAAGAGTTATCCTCCCTAGTAATCATAGTCAACTATTTTTTAGGAGAAACAAAGGGAAGTGGGAGTAGGTTTGGCACTTTTTGGCCCCAGCCCTAGAATAGTTCATGATGTGTAAACTTGATGCTTTTGGAAATGAATGGAAACTTCTTTTAACCTAGATTTTCTATGAATTGATGCATCTGTTTATTTTATTGGCACGCCTAAAAGAGTATAAGAAAGAATGATGGTTGCAAGTATGTTTTCACCAAACTTTTGAGACAGAAAAGATATATCTAGATGACCCATTTTGAATATAGGATGGAATTCAAGTTTCCCCTCACCAAAACAACAAAATTTAACTTGCATATCATGCATCATTTGCTTGAATTCATTGCTTTTCATGCCAGCTAAGGACAAGGAATGATAATTGTAAATATACTTTCGTCAAACCTTCGAAGCAATTTTTTTTTATATACAATAGAATTCATGCCATGCATTTCTGACTTCTGATGATTAATAAAAGATTCAAGGATAGCTATCTTAGGAAACGAGGTCAGTTGAGTCTGCACACTTATAGCACTCGAGCTAGTACCATAATCATGGAAAATGAAGGTGCCAGTCGAATGGATAGAGTAGAAAAAACCCAAGGAGAGATCGGTGAAACAGTTACAGGAATGCAACAAAACGTGAACAGACAACTGACAGAATTAAAACAGATGATAGTGGAATTGACAAAAGGAAAAGAAGTTGTTGAGACGTACAGGACAAGGGAGGAAACAGCTGTCGAGACACCATTGTATCTATCTGGGTTCACATATGTTCAAGATCCCCATGTGTCACAAACACCTCAAACAACTGATCAACCTTATATTGGCCATTTTACCAAGTTACCATCAGTTCAGACAAATATCAATCCTGGGCATACTCCTCACGACTTCACTACTGTGCCTAATGTGGATGATCATAAAAAATTGAAGAAATTGAAGAGGGTGCCAGATCCATCAGAAGATATAGTGATGAAAGATAAGTATGATCTGTTGGAAGGGAGATTGAAAGCAATTGAAAGTCATGATGTCTACGAGAATGTTGACGCCAACGAGCTTAGTCTAGTGCCTGATCTCATTATTCCATCAAAATTCAAAGCCCTGAATTTTGAAAAGTATAATGAAACTGGATGTCCTAAAATACATTTGGCTCAATACTGTCACAAAATGGTTGGGTATGCTGGTGATGAAAAGCTACTTATTCATGTCTTTCAAGAAAGTTTGACTGGGACAGCAGCTAATTGGTATCATAGTTTGAAAAGCAGTCAAATTCATACTTGGAGAGATTTATCACGGGCATTCTTGAAGCAATACCAATATATGTTGGAGTTAGCTCCGGATCGATTAACCCTCCAAAATATGAGAAAGAACCCAATGAGAGCTACAAAGAATATGCTGTTAGATGGAAGAATATGGCATCACAGGTACAACCACCTCTTACCAATAGGGAGTTGAATTCCCTATTTGTGGATACCCTTCCTTCTCCCTATTATGATAAGTTGATCAGCAATACTTCATAAGAGTTTGCAAATTTATTGTTTGCTGTGGGTAGAATTGAGGATGGGATAAGAAGGGGAAGAATTATAAATACTGGTGATGAAAAAAGAGGAGATATTTTTGCAAAACAAGCCCAAGAAATAATTGTTAAAGGGCAAAATGAGAGAAATCTCACCATGATGCAAGAAGATCCAACAGATGATTATTCACAATGGCTACCATATTGCCCCCAACCAATATTTACGATCGATGATTTTCCTCGACCACTTCATCTGTATGCTCAAATTCCTTCACCACGAACAGAACCAAGGATCAACTTAAGCCATTCACAGAGTCGTAAGAGAAAGAGAGCCAAAGTGTATCATTCACTTTCAATACCTTACGCTGAGCTCTTTACTTTACTGATAGAGAATCATATGATCTCTGTTGTTCCTGCAAGACCCAGAAAGCCTCCGTACCCGAAGTGGTATGATCCTAATGCTAAATGTGAATTTCATGATGGAGTTAAGGGGCATTCCATAGAAGATTGTACTGCCTTCAAGGATAAAGTTCAAGCTTTGATCGATGCAGATGCTGCAAAGTTTAAAGAGCTAGTTGGTGGTTTTGATGATTGATAGTAGTAAAGTTGCAAGTTAGTGATGCTAAAGTTGAAACATCAAGGGGAAAACTTTTGTTTATGTAACTTTAAATATCACCTCAAGAGTATGATCTAGATAATAAATTCTTTTTGGTCAAGTCTTAAGGTTTGCATTGCATGAGCAAACATTGTGCATCATAGTGTTTTATTTCGTGTAAGTTTCGATATATAGTTGGTTTTTTTTTTTAAAAAAAAGGGAAGATATTAGATGTGAATAAAGCCTCATGTGGTTAACTACCAAGGCTAGAGAAATTTTCTTGAGAAAAAAAAACAAAAAAAGAGAAAAAGAAAAAATGAAGTTTTGAGTCTAAGATGAATTGGCGATCACTATTAGAAAATTTTCAAATACCTAAATGCCAATTTGCTCATTCAGTTGACCCCATTTCATCAGTCATGACCCCTTGATAGCCTTAAATTCGAATTTGTGAACCTTATTTTCACCTGATATTGTTGGCAATATTCTTTTCTAAGGCAATGAACAAATGAAACAGCCATTAACAAATGTGTGGTTCCTAGAAAATCAAGTCTATATGACTTTTTTTTTTAGAATTCAAATGCGATAATTGAATATGATAAGATTATGCTGCAGTTCCAAAATTTTCAAATCCAAAATACACTTAAGCATACTACCATTTCAGTTTTTTTATCCCAAAATTAACCCGATCCTTTGTCTTGAGGTATATTTGTCAGAAAAGAAATATCTCATTACCTCTAAGGCAACTTGAGTTATGATTAACCCTTTTGTTCTCTTTTTGTGGAGTAACTTAGATCATTTGATACCTTAAACATGTTTACCCCACATAATCTTTTTCTTATCCATTTCATATGACCCTTCTTTTGTAATTACTTTCATTATGGGTGGTTTGCTAAAATGGGACATCTTTCATGAAACGTGTTACTGGCAAAATGAATCTAGGTGTGAACTATGGGGCATAAAAAAAATAAAAACAACAAAAAAAGAGAAAAAAAAAAAAAGAAGAAAAATTGGTTATGACATCATGCACTAAAAAATTTGAGCAAATCCAAAAAAGGTTATGACAAAGTCAAGGTTTTGAAAAAAAAAAAACAAAAATTTTTTTTGAGATTAAAAAGAAAAAAACCTTTTTCCAAGTTCATTTTCCTGAAGAGTAGTCTTCAATTTAAGTGTTTATGCTTGAAGTGACAAATGGCCATCTTTCATTATCTCTTCACAAAAATAAAAATTTATCTCTTGTTACCCCTTTGAGCTTGATTGAATTCTTTCAAAATAAACCCTGACTAAGGATCACTTTTCATATTTGTGAAAAAAAAACAAAAAAAAGAAATACGTTTGAAGGATAAGAATGAGAATGTCTAATGGAATCTCATGTGATAGGGGCACAAACCCAGTATAAAAGTTCATAAAAGTTTTGAATCCACTCAGTGAAAGGGTGTAAAAAAAAGGAAAGGAAGAATAAAAAAAAAAGGGAAAGAAATGAATTGGTGGAAAGCACAAAATAGAATATACCTTAGAGTGTATCCTTCCAATGAAAAATGATCCTTAGTTTCAAATACCCTTAAATAGTTGTTTTGGGCCTTTTTATCCTTTTCTTTGGCGACCATGAACCTTAACCTACATTACAACCTTTGAAAAGTCCATATTGGATCAGGCATGAAAGCTTAAACTTGAAGAGTTTCTCTTGAAAAATGAACATTAATTTTTTGAGTTTTCCTTTTTGAAAAAAATTCTTTTCCTCTTTTGGATTAGATTTGAATTCTCAAGTGCATGGTGTGTAAAAAAAAAAAAGAGAAAAATAGAAATAAATGTGGCTCTAGGGTGAAAACCCTCAAAAGGGCAGTCTAGAGCCAACCCTGAAAGGTCACTTCTGATGCTAAGTATGGTGGATGCTAAACAAAAGTAAAGCCAAACCTTTTGAAAGATCTAAAATATCAAAGCCATAGAAGTCTGAGATGGGTTGATTATTCCCAAAAACCCTTTAAAATCTTAAGCCCTTACAGCTGATCTTAACATATATCAAAATGTCGCATTTGGAGACTAAGAAAAATGTTGAATATGTTTGATTTTCAAGGAATTCATGCTTTTAGAAAAGCTTGTGTTTCATTTGTGAGCTTGCATGCCTCTTTCACTCCCTTCAAGGATTGGAACCTTTTGAATCAACATCGCTATCTACAAAACTATTACATCCATTTGGAAAGAAAATCCTCACCTTTTTCATTTTTGATAGGGATCGCCAAATTCTAAAAAGGAATAAAATAAAATAAAATAAAATTTAAGCCCAGTTTATCTGGCCATTAATGAAGTTTTAAGCCCAGTTTATCTGGCCATCAATGAAAATTTAAGCCCAGTTTATCTGGCCTCAAATGAAGATTTAAGCCCAGTTTATCTGGCCATCAATGATATTTAAGCCTAGTTTATCTGGCCATTAATGAAGCTTTAAGCCCAGTTTATCTGGCTCTCAATGAAACTTTAAGCCCAGTTTATCTGGCCATTAATGAAGCTTTAAGCCCAGTTCATCTGGCCATCAATGAGGTTTTAAACCTAGTTTATCTGGCTTCAAATGAAGATTTAAGCCCAGTTTAGCTGGCCTTCAATAAATTTAAGCCAAGTTTATTTAGCCCCAAAAGAAGTTTTAGAGTTTCAAAGTTCTATCCATAATAAAATTTCTCGATACATAACCTTTTGAAAGATCTTGCATTTGCATTACTTGTATCATGAGAAAGACATTTAACCTAAAAAAAAAAGAGATATTCAAATTTGCATCGCTTATCTGTGCATCATGAAAGGGATATTTGCATTTGCATCACTTACATCTGTACTACAAGAAAGACATTTGCATTTGCATCACTTGCATTTGCACTTGCACAAGATATTTGCATTCGCACCATAAAAAAATTTTTCATATTTGCAAAACTATGGCATCCGCATCCTAAGAAAAGGTATTTGTAAAAGCATTACATGAAAGAACATTGTCATTGTCAAATATAGTTGCATCAAGCATTCGCATCCTTGCATTTGCATTGAAATTTATATTTTTATCAACATTTCCATTAGCATCATTTGATCAAGATGGACATTTGTATCATTGATTGCATTCATTAAATCTGATTTGAAAAAAAAAACATTTTCAAAAAAATTTTCAAATTTTAAAGTTTCATCACCTCTGATTATGAGGAGCATTTAAAGATTTTGAGATTTGTAAGACCTCCAGGCATAATATCTAAAAGCCTCTGCGCAAGACTTTCAAGATTAAAAGATTTTCAAATTTTACAGTTTCATCGCTTCTGATTATAAGGAGCATTCAAAGATTTTGAGATTTGTAAGACCTATAGGCATAATTTGGATTTACGGTGTTGTCCCGATCGATTTTTATTTCTGACTTGCGATGTTACCCGATGTCAATTCTGTAAAACCTCCGGGCATGATTCTGTAAGACCTTCGAGCACGATTTTTAAGACCTCCGGGCATAATTTCGATTCACGATGTTATCCCGATCGATTCCTTATCTTTCAACTTACAATTTTATTCCAGTCGATTCTGTAAGACCTCCGGGCATGATTCTATAAGACCTCCAGGTATGATTCTTAAGACCTCCGAGCATAATTTTGATTCGCGTGGTTATCTCGATCGATTCCTTATCTTTTGACTTACGATGTTATCCCAGTCGATTTTGTAAGAACCTTCGACATAATTTCGATTCGCGGTGTTATCCCGATCGATTCTTTATCTTTTGACTGCGATGTTATCCCAGTCTATTCTGTAAGACCTCCGGCATAATTTTGATTCACGTGTGTTATCTCGATCGATTTATTATTTTTTTTAAACTTGCGGTGTCATCCTAATTGTTTTGTTTAAAAAAAAAATTCACGATCCGTTTTCGGACAAAATCGTTGTCTTTGTCTTTGCCCTATTCCTGATTCTCAGTAATGTGCAAAGAGGGGCAGCTGTTGACATCAATTTTGTCCTCAAAAATAAAAATAATAATATTATACGAAATACAAAAAAATAAATACCAAAAATAATACAAAAAAATAGCAAAAAAAAAAAAGAAAAATAATTGAGGATGGCATGGTGCCGCCACTGCCACCAGGCCCACCACCCATCACATTACCCTGTTCATCCTACCCTACTACCAGAAAATACAGAAGAAATAAAGAGGGCGGGCTCGTGTTTACATCCCGTGATCGAGCCCCATGCGCTCTCCCTCTAAAACACGCATATGGCCTGGAGCTCTGTACACATAAGGAGCTCATAGCGAAGCCCAAATAGCGGACAGAGAAGAAAGAGGGGGAGATTCCTGTAAAAAAAAATTACAAAAAAACACAAAAACCACAGTTCCTCCCCGTAGGAGGAACTCCCAGGCGCGAAGTACCTACCAAAGCAAGCCACACCAATAAGATCAGGTGCTTGCCTTCAACAAACAAAC